CCAAACCCCACGGAATCGCTTGCTACGCAGGCTAATTTTTAGAAAGCTATTTATACTGTATCAATGGGGGTCTGGAACCTGGACAGAAAACATCTGCAGTAGAAATTTAAGACGTTTCAAACGGAAACTGTCTGTAATGGAAAATCTGTCTAACAAAGTAAAAGCTTTTCACTGCTGACATTGGCATTCAGTGCTGGCTGCAACTTTTGAATAAACAAGGTCTCTTTAACCTTACAATGGTAGTCAGTCTTGCCGGACGCCAAAATGTCAAAATGGTCCCATCTGATGTTGTGACCAGTTGTTTTAACGTGATCAGCAATAGCAGAAGAGTGATCATGTTTCAAAAGGGCCTTGAAATGTTCTGTTTTCCGGTCGTGAAGTCTTTGCTTCGTTTTCCTGATGTAAAAATCATTGCAGTCCCGGCAACTAGCTTTATAAAGGACTTTGGATAATTGTGATCGATTGAGACGGTCCTTGTATGGGAAGAAGGATTTGATGCGCCGGATGTTTTGAAAAATAACTTTGACATTACGTAACAAAAGAGCAGAAACGATTTATACAAGATTTTGGACGCTTAGTAATATGATTGCTATGGAGACCTATTTAGGGTAATACAATAATAACATTTTTTTGGGTACTGTTGCTACGGGTTTATTTGGCTTGTTCCATAGTTGGTTGTTCTTGTTCAGTTTTGTGCCGTATGTACCTAAATCAAGACTACTTTTACTTACTTATCTCAAATTAACTACCAAAATACGGGGAGTCAGTTTCCATGTCTCCTGTGTTACATGACTACGTCTTTTGACATTCGATAATCATAATAAAAGCTGATTTTGCGGGGAAGGAAACAAAAGGAAATCAGAAAAGTAAATTCGTTATGGATACCAGACCCTTTTAAAGCCAACCACGTTCTTGGGCCGCCTGTGTTAAGTATTACGTAATAAGGTCCCCACCAATCAGAGATCACTTTGTTTGAATCGCCTGCGTCACAGTTCTTTCTTTCACGCCTGCTTTTACCGGCGACGAGTTTGGTTGTGAAGTCGTGCTTTCGGTATCGCATTTTTGGCCAGAATCTTTTATTGCTAAGGCTCAAAACAACCAGACTACATTACCGAATCATGTCTCGTTATGACAGAGGTCGTTCTTTTGATCCAGGTAGCCGTTCAGAACGAAAAAGGTAAGAAGATGAATATGGACAATGCGCCATTTTCAATGACCTCTGCATTTTCTTCGTCTACATCTACATAAATTCGACCTTCGTTTCAATCAAGTCGTTAGTTCTAAGAGGCAAATGCTAAAGGAGGTTTATGTGAGTTTTCATTCTCCATATGGTCGTATTTCGGGTCGAAAGTGTGAATTTTGAGAAGTCCATGCTTTTCACGTAAGACGCCTGCCACATGCGATTTCCTCGAGGGGAAGGTGGATTGTTTCTAAGCAAGCTTTACGCACAAGGCCTTAGAGGATAAATATGCTGTTATCAGTCGACATCTTTTATATTCCACTGTAGTGACGTTGACTAAGTATGTACCGTAGTCTTCAAGCATGGCGCCGCTGCTAATGTATTCAACTCTTAAAAGTAGTGTAATTTATGCAAACAGATATTTTAAGTGTGTGTAATGCGAGTTAAATGGTCACAGGAGCCCCAAAAGAAACACTGCCACTTAGTTCAGGGACTGTTGTGAAACTTTAGGACAAGTTTTTTGTGTTTGCAAAATGTATAATATATAAATTGGCAAAATTCTCTCAGAATCACTGGTTAAGCTATTGTTAATGAGAGAATGAAACCTGAGAATAATGAAACCTAACACAACCTAAGGCAATTGTTTGGAAAATTTTTCTTTGTCTCAAGGTGCTGCAGGGTATTTGAAATCCTGATCCTGTTTAGAAAATAAAACACTCTAAAAACCCTACGCTGTGTAGGACATCACCCTCTGTGTTAAGACCCTATTTAGGACAAGAGTGAAGATCATGAAGTCCCTGTGCAACATAGTGTTATCTTTCTGTCATCACGATATCCAACACAGAAACTAGGTAGACTGATCATTGTGATCTATTCTGCCAATATTTGCTTGTTATGATGCTTATTAAGTGGAAAAATAATTCAAATTAAAGGATGCCAACAACAGGAACATCAGTCTTGCCCTGAAAATGATCTGATGTTGACTGATGACCTTGTCAAGACCGGTTGACATCTCTGATCGTGCACTGGCCATGTAGCCATAACTTGTTTAGGATAAGTTCTGACCCCATTTGAGCTTCTACTTTGAAAATCAAGCCCATAAACACCCAGGGGAAAGGGTTTCTTTTTTTGGCACTATTTTTCTTATTCCATTATGTATCCGATGAGGCAAAGAAGAAGCTCCTCCTGGTGTACTTGTTAAATATGAAGACTGATTTGCTCATCACTGTACTTCATTAACCCTATAACTCATTTTCTGATTGTGTTATTGCCCAGGTGGTCATTGGACGTTGATCAAACTTGTGAAGTTGTCTGAAACATTTTAGGTTATGATCAGACCTCGTGACTGAGCATCAAAATGATGTGAAGATCTTGTTTAAAGACCATGTTTGCTTTGAAACAAGTTAAAAATCGCAAATCATACAGATCCGCGGGTTGTTTTGCTTTGGAAATAAGCAATGCATTTTTTTT